CTGCGATCTGTGAAACTGTCGCCACTTTCGAGGCTGCTGGGGGGCCCAGCGCAGTGACCCACGGCGGATTCAAATTAGACCTCGCCATCCCTGGGGGGCTGCGATCTGTGAAACTGTCGCCACTTTCGAGGCCTGCTGGGGGGCCCAGCACAGTGGACCCACGGCGGATTCAAATTGACCTCGCCATCCCTGGGGGGCTGCGATCTGTGAAACTGTCGCCACTTTCGAGGCCTGCTGGGGGGCCCAGCACAGTGGGCCACGGCGGATTCAAATGGGACCTCGCCATCCCTGGGGGGCTGCGATCTGTGAAACTGTCGCCACTTTCGAGGCCTGCTGGGGGGCCCAGCACAGTGGGTACCACGGCGGATTCAAATTAGACCTCGCCATCCCTGGGGGGCTGCGATCTGTGAAACTGTCGCCACTTTCGAGGGCTGCTGGGGGGCCCAGCGGAGTGACGCCCTACGGGGATTCAGATTAGACCTCGCCATCCCTGGGGGGCTGCGATCTGTGAAACTGTCGCCACTTTCGAGGCTGCTGGGGGGCCCAGCGGAGTGACGCCCTACGGGGATTCAGATTAGACCTCGCCATCCCTGGGGGGCTGCGATCTGTGAAACTGTCGCCACTTTCGAGGGCTGCTGGGGGGCCCAGCACAGTGGGTACCCATGGCGGATTCAAATGGGACCTCGCCATCCCTGGGGAGCTGCGATCTGTGAAACTGTCGCCACTTTCGAGGGCTGCTGGGGGGCCCAGCACAGTGGGTACTCACGGTTGATTCAAATTAGACCTCACCATCCCTGGGGGGCTGCGATCTGTGAAACTGCAGCCACTTTCGAGGCTTGCTGGGGGGGCCAGCACTGTGGGTACTCACGGCGGATTCAAAAGCTGCTGGGGGCTGCGATCTGTGAAACTGTCGCCACTTTCGAGGGCTGCTGAGGGGCCCAGCACAGTGGGTACTCACCGCAGACTCAAATGGAACCTCGCCATCCCTGGGGGGCTGCGATCTGTGAAACTGTCGCCACTTTCGAGGGCTGCTGAGGGGCCCAACACAGTGGGTACTCACCGCAGACTCAAATGGGACCTCGCCATCCCTGGGGGCTGCGATCTGTGAAACTGTCGCCGCTTTCGAGAGCTGCTGAGGGGCCCAGCACAGTGGGTACTCACCGCAGACTCAAATGGGACCTCGCCATCCCTGGGGGGCTGCGATCTGTGAAACTGTCGCCACTTTCGAGGGCTGCTGAGGGGCCCAGCACAGTGGGCTTCCCGCACGTCTTTCTCCTGCTCTTCGCTCCCGTCTCCCCATGTCCTCTTCGAGCCTGTAGCTGTTGCCCTTCTTTCTTGTGTGGTTCTCCTGCGCATCATGCCATAGGCGCGTGTCCCAAGTAGCTTACATATCAAACAACGGATCCTGCAATTTGATTGTCCATGCAAGTGTCGGTCAACTCCTCGTTTCCCATGATACAAATGGGTTGGGTACGTCGCAGGGTAATTGAATCTTCCCCCTGTAGAGGGGCGGGCCCGACTTAAAGTCTAGGCCTGCGATTCTAGCGGCCGAGGGGCGGCCCAGCTCCTCCCGGAGAGGCCCCCCGCCGATCTCGGGGACGACCTCCCCACGCGTGGGTCGATGGCACGGCCGCAGTCCTCCCCCGCGCCTGCGGGCGATGCGCGCGGCGCCTCATCTGGGCGCTGACAGCGCCAGGTGTGGAATGGAACGGAATGCTCATAGGGGAAGTGCGCAGCACTAAAAACTGAGGAAAACAAAGGTGGGGAAGGGTCGCTCTGGAGGTGGGCTGGCAGGCCTACTCTGGAGGCCCATGCAAAACTGATCCCCAAGAACGAGCGGCAGAACCCTGCTCTTTGAGTCGGGTCCTCCTACAGGCGGATTTCTTGGGAAGAATGAAATTCAAAGATAGCGGCATGGAGGCGTGTCCTCCTACAGCAAATGGAATGAGTAGTCAAACAAAACATGGAAAATTGTCAAAAGCAGGCAAGCAAATCGTCCCCAGACTATTGTTTCACTGTTTTTGAAATTTCCTCCCGTAGAGGGACACGCCCGACTTAATGGTAGCGGGGATGGAAGCTCCTGCGCCTCGCGTGGGACTAGCGGCCGCCCGACCTGTTCGCGCGCACGGGTCTCCGTGGGTCATTCCGTCCGCCTCGACCCCCTCGCCCCCTTCTCCTCGCTCCACACCTGCCAGGCTATGGGCGCTGACGAAAACGTCACCCCACCCCCGCAGACTTCGGGCTGCTGGAGCCTGCGCTGAAGCAGAGACGCGCCGGGCTCGCACCTCGACTTATGGGGCCCCTGGAGAGGCCAGAGAGGCTGGTGCTTGCCACTCTATCTCAGAGGGGCAAAACCCAGAACCCCCTCGACCAGTGAGAAAATCATGACAGGAGGTTTTCCTATATTCTCGGCCTCTGGGGGGCCTTACTGGCCCTCGGGACCGTCAAAAAATCGACTCAGGATGAAAAACCGGTCCAGGGGAATGGGTCGAGACCTCCAGGGGTCGATGTCATGAACAAAATCATGACGTCGGGGGTCTGGGAAGGAAGGGAAACGTCGAGCTGGAATCGGGGGATTTATCGCCGATGGATCGGCGATATGGCCCCGATAGCGAATCCGAGCGTTCCTGGGCGGGGTGGGCTATCGGGCCTCTATCGGCGATGGATGATCGATCGGGGGTCGACGCATCCCCCCCTCAGCCTATTCCCTCTCTCTTACTCCCTTGGGCGCCGCCGGCGGCGGCAGTCATCGGCACACCACGCTCAGACACTGCCGGGTTTTCTTTCCGACGCAGACCATCATTGCTCGAAGCCTTGCTGTCCGCGCGTTGCGATTTTTCCACAACGCGCATTTCCGTCAAATGTCGCGGCCCCCAGGCCGTCAAATTTTGCGGCCCCCAGACCACCACACATCGATCCAATCAGACAAAATGCAACGGAAAGGTGGGGTCTGGGGCGCGGGTCGTGACGTTTCGCGATGTTGCACTTGTTTTCGCGACGTCGAATCTAAATGAACGTGCCCTGATGGCCGAGAGAAAGAGTGGGATAGAAGCCGAGCAAGCCAGAGGAATATGAGCGCATTTGTTTTATTCGCGGCGTATTCTTTTTATTCGCGGCCGTAACGGGCGTCACGGGGGGGAGGGGGGGGGACAGTATAGGGCATAACGTAGCGTTCCCCCCCCCCCCGGATGTGGTGCTGGACGCACTGCGGCAGTGCCAGTGACGCACTGAAGGGGGGAGCGTTACGTTATGGAGGGGGGGATGGGGGGAGAGGGTAGGGGGCATAACGCTCGTTATGGCCAAGGGGGCAACAGAAACATTATATTGGCACTGGGTGGAAAGACACCGCCTGTACGGCACACTGCCGGCGGCACTGCTGCGGGCAGGGGTCGCGGAAGAGAAGGGGGAAAACGGAGAGGGGAACAAAGGGGTCGGACAGCCACTAAAGCCAAAATCGAAGGACTGAAACTCAATCGAAGGACCACAACAAAAATCGAAGGACCAAAACTAAAATCGAGGAAGGGGGGAAGGAGGGGTGGAAATCGAAGGACCAAAACTAAAATCGAAGGATGAGGAACGCAAATCGAAATCGAAGCCCTGGACCTCGTTTTGTCGGGCTCAACGCCTCGCACTTCCTGAGTGCACCAAGCCCAGATAGTGACTGCACTGGAGGGACCCTGAGATCCGACGTGGCAAAAAAATGAAACATCGTGAAAAAAACGAAACCAGCCCTAGACTCTATCTGTCTGCGTTCTTTTTCGAGCCAGATCGCTATGTGAGGATCCTGGGGCCCGAATTTGGGCGAAAGCGCCCGGCTCGAACACATCGGGTCGCCAGGATCTCAAGGGAAGTGCAGCCGCCCTGAACGAGACCTGATCCGGCTCATCCGACCTGTCCTTCGCCCTGGGCTTGGGTCGGGCACGTCCTCCTGCAGGCGGAGTTTGGGAGACAGATACACGGTAGGCAGCATAAATACAATTTTTTGGTCAGCGGGGCGAGAGCGAACCTCTTCCGCTAAAAGCTAGGCGGGCTACGCACAGCTCGAATTAGGGAGACAGGGCACAAACGGGCGGGGCCTCAGGCGGCCGGAGAGGGCGGGGTCCGGGGTGCAGGCGGTGCCGAAGAGCTTGCACAGGAAAAGGTACGCCGCGGACAGGAGCCGGAGGCGGAGACCCGGAGGGCGCAGCACAAATACAAACATAGTCGAAACATCGTCCCCGGACTATTTGTTAAAAAGGTGTTTGCAGATTCCTCCTGTCGAGGGACGTGCCCGACGGAACCTTGGGCCTGAGCGGGCCCTCGCCCTCTCCGAGCACGCACGCGCAGGAGGACGGACGGCTCTGCCTGCGGGGCGCCTCGACTGGGTGACGCCCGCTGCCTCTCCCGGGGGGGTACGCTCTGGCACCGGGACCTCGACGAGACGCCGGCCGCGGCGGCGAACGCGCTATAGATATATATATATATATATATACAGGATGAGCCGCGGCATCGGTGACTGCTCCTCCCCTGGAAGGCCACGGCAGCTGATACGTCAACGGATAAACAGCAGACGAGAGCCAATCGTATTTTCCATAGTGGCAACATTAGAAATAATAACCGTATGAGTATCAGAACTAGAACTAATAGTAGTATGAATTATCGTTTTCATGGTATCATTATTATCGTTGCTGTTGTGTAGGAATACTTTTGATACTACTACGAATGCCACTACTATTCATAATGACAGCCAAAATCACAACAGTAGTGACACCAATGCTAATAATGATACCCTGAGACCGCCCTATATCCCAGGCTTTACGCAACACGCGACACGGAGAGCATTGATACGAACCACAACACGTAGACTGAACACCTAGGTCGGGTGCGATACGTTCGCCAACACGTGGGCCAATACGCTGAGCCAACACGCCACGTATTGACACGGACGTTTCGAGCATGGTACGTGCTGGGTTGCAAGACGGGCGTACCGCGGCAGCGAAGGCCCCCGGGGGGTTCCCCTCCTGGTCGAGCTCCGAGGCGAGCGCGCCCTCCCCGCCACCGTCGGGGGCGCCCGCGCACCCCTCGCCGGCGCTGCTCCCGCACGGCGGCGCCGACTCCTCGGGCGCTGCGAGGGGCGACTCTGCCCCCCCTGCCATCGCTCGGGCGCCCATTCCCCGTGCATTTTTTGGTTTTGTGCGTGGATTTTTGCTCGATGGTCCAGGATGCTCCTCGATGGTCCTCGCCGAGAAAAGCACAGCACTCGTCCGAGCGATGCCAAGCCCAAACTTTCCGCGCCACCTTGGGCCCCCCGTAGGGCCCCGCGTGCCTGCAGACAGGGGCCCCTCGAGGAAGGGGGGCATTATATAGTCGGGGATGGACAGACCCCCCTTTAGCACAACGTGGTTTAGTGGAAACGACCTGAGGCCCAAACCTGGCGGGCGCAAGCCTGGAAAATAACGGCCACGGCGCCATCTCGAGAATCGAAAACGGACAATTCACTAATCGACGTGTCACTGTTGGGGGTTCTGTCCACCCCCGATATATACAGACAGGAACGTCCGGAGGTCCGCGCGGAGTTCGCAGAGCGGCGCTGGACCCCCCCTTGGCGGACCCTCCCTCCGACGCCGCCCGTGGAGCGCTGCGCGCGCCAGGGAGGGGATCCGGCGCTAGGTTGCTCCCATCGTACTGAAGGGCCACACCTCAAGAAAGAATTTCGAGCACCCCGAAAAGTATCGAGTGTCTCCCAGACGCGCTGGCGAAAGGTACAACAAGCGTAATTAGCCTCCCGGGGCCCGCCATGTGACAATCCACAGTTCGGGTACTTTCCTATTGGCAGTCAAAACCTCAGACATGCAACGGCCTATTTTTTGTCGTTACGGGGCCCCTGGGAGTCCCGACCCTTCCCCAGGGACCGGCGTTTCTTCCTGAGTCGTTTTTTGACGCCCCCGAGGCCTGGCGAGGGTCCCCCAAGGCCGAAACAGGAAAAACAACGTCTCGTCCTTCTTTGCTGTTGTTTGCGAGAGTAAATCGGAACAGTCGGAACAGCACAACTCAAGCGCCGATCCCAGGCCAGGCATCAGAGCGAACCTCCGCAAGTTGCTTCGCTTGCTGTTGCAACTCCCCCGAGTCTTGCGAGGCTTGCTCTCTCGAGGCCACGGGGCGCCTCTCCAGGGGGGGGGAGCGGCCCTTGGGGGATGCGGGGGGAGGAGGAGGAGGAGGAGTCGAGCGTGCGGAGAGGAGGAGGAGGAGGAGGAGGAGGAGGAGGAGGAGGAGAAGGAGGACGAGGAGAAGGAGGAGGAGAGGAGGAGGAGGGGAGGAGGGGGAGGAGGAGGAGGATGTGGAGGAGAAGGGGGAGGAAAAGGAGGAGGAGGAGAAGGAAGAGGAGGAAGACGCAGACGCAGACGCAGACGTAGACGCGCGAGTCCGCCAGCTGGCGGGCCGGCAGGCCCCTCAGGGGCGGCGCGGGCGGGCCGGAGCCTGGTCACAGGCATGTGAACTTCAAGAAGTCGCTCTCGAGGTCCGCCCAGAATTAAGAAGTTGTAGCAGTCTGTAGCCATGTGCTGGGTGTGCTTCCAACCGAAGCATGTAACAAAGATTCTGTGATGTCGTCACTCCATCGCTTTCGCGGTTCTGTGATGCAAAAATTCTGTGATGCAGAAATTCTGTGATGTCGTGATTCTGTGAGAGGAGGAAGGAGGAGGAGGAGGAGGAGGAGGAGGAGGAGGAGGAGGAGGAGGAGGAGGAGGAGGAGGAGGAGGAGGAGGAGGAGGAGGAGGAGGAGGGCGAGGAGGAGTGGAGTGGAGTGGGGCCCGTTGCGGATGCAGGCCTGCCCCTCTCAGCCCGCTGGAGTGTACTCGACCGCCCGGCCTGCTTCTCGGCTCGGCCGAGGCCCCGCGGCTCCACAAACCAGCCGCGAGGCATTCTCACGGGGGCTCTCCTCGCCTGCCGACGGCACGGTCGCCCCGAGAGAGGCGATTTTGGTTGCTTCTCGGCGGGATGGCGCCGCACGGAGCGCAAGAAAGCCAGACTCGGAGGGTCGTGTAGACATGGGGTGTGTGGGCGGGGTGGGCCCACCCATTGGGGGGCCTCTCTGGGAGGAGCTGGCCCCCCCCCCTGAAGGCGCCTCTCTTGAAGAGATGCGCCTCAAGGAGTGGCGGGCCCCCTCCCTTGAGGCGTCCCGAAGATTCTCTTCGGGGCGCAAGTTTTGCTTCCGCTGGCGGAAGCGCCCGCCTTCGATTTGCCCCCCCCCCCCCCCCCCAGGCCTCCGCCGAGGAAGACATGTCAACCTCCCGTCCCTCCAAGGCGAGGCCTTCTTCGGAATTTCCCCCGCGCCCATGTTCACGCGGGCCTCGCGATGTTCTCTGAGATCCGACGTTGCAGAGCGAAGTCGACATCCCGAGAAATCACGACCGGCGCCCCAGACCTACAAGGTGGTGAGCGTTTTCTTTTTCGGCGTTTCGACGTTGGGCGGAAGGGGGTGGAGAGGGCAGGCCCTGGACCTCTGCTCAGTGCGACTGTTTGGAACCGTGCGTCCCCTGGGGGAGGCTCCCCCTGCTTGAAAAAGACGCCCAAAACAGCCAAGATCTACTCCATGGAGGGGTGGGGCAGGGGGGACTGGGGGGCCCGCGCCGATCGGCAAAACAATTAATAAAACAAACGATATCCCGAGGAATCACGACCGGCGCCCCAAACCTACAATATGTCTGGCTCTTGTGTGTCGAGCCGCATCGATCTGTGAGGGCCCCAGGCCCCCAAACAACTCACGGAAAACCTCCGAGGTGGAAAACACATTATATATATATATATGTGTGTGTATGTGTATGTATGTGAATCTACATATATATATATATATTCAACACCCTTTGCTGTTCTTGGGCTGCCCTCACAGCCACGGGGGCGCCCCCCCTGGAATCTCTGGAGAAAGGGGTGTGGCATAAAGGGGTTATGGAGGAGGAGGAGGAAGAGGAGGATGAGGAGGAGGAGGAGGAAAAAGGGAGAATGAGGAGGAGGAGGAGGAGGAATGAAGGGGTGTGGCGCCAATCGTGGAAATGGCGATGCTGTCTACGATAGGTAGCACCGCCAGATGCAGCATTGGCACCACACCCCTGTGTGCCACACCCCCATTTTCCGACCTTCGGATGGAACAACCAGGGCCCCTCCCTGGGACGAAGAGTTGGACGCTCATTCTGGAAACCTTGCTTCGGGGGCGCGCAAACATGGATTAGCGATCCATGGATCTGGCGCGCGGTCGCCAAATACATGGATTGGGGGGAGGTGCCCTCCCGAAGATGCGCCCAGTGCCGCGTCGCTCGGCGGCGGAAATCCGCGATCTCCCATGGAAACAGGACCCGTCGCTAATCCCGCTTCCCTGATTCCTGGAGACACTCGCTCCACTCGTGCGTCGAAGCTGCGTCGAACGTCCGTCGATTTCAGCCGACCTTCATGAGTCGAACGTACTTGAGTCGACCTTGAGTCGGTCGAGCCGGAGTCGATCAGATCCGTTCGGTGTCCACAGGAAGGTCCCCGAAACGCTCACTGAAGAAGAGAGGGCCGCCCCCGCAGCACAAGTGGGGGGCTGGCAAGGGGGGGGGGGGAACGTCGACCTGCGATCGGCGATGCGGCGCCAACGTGTGCGACAGGCCCCCGGCCGCGAGACTGAAAGTTCATGGGAGGGGTGGGGATGTGAGGTACGAGTCGACGATGAATGGGCGACTGCGGGGGGGGAACGCCGACCTGCGATTGGCGATGCAGCGCCGACGTGTGCGACAGGCCCCCGACCGCGAGTCCGAGAGTTCCCAGGCGGGGCGGGGCTGTCAGATCCCAGTCGACGATCACTGGGCGACTGCGGGTCGATGCGCTCCCCCCTACAGGGCAGGTTTTAATACATAGGATTTGTCTAATGTCGGATTTGTAATACATGACTAATGTGTGAATGCATTTATGCATGGACTCATCGTTTTTTAGTGCTAAACCCCTGCATTTTTTATACATGATCCGCACGCGGAGCATGTATTAAAAACGACATTCTAAGGCAGATCCCCTCGATCTGGAAGAACGCAAAAACGACATAAACATAAACTGTCGACGGTGGGCGCGGATGTCTTGGATCTGCGCCGGGCCCCCCTGCCTGGCGCGCGGGGCGATCAGTAGGTCGGGTGTGTCCACTTACAGGCGGAATTTTGAAGAGAAACGCAAGATAACCAGAAAGTAAGCAAAACTTCATCCACAAGGCAACCGGCGTCGTCCCCAGACTATGTTTGGACTGTGCTCGAATACTCCTCCTGTAGGAGGACACGCTCGACTGAAGGCTATCAGTAGAGGCCTCCTAGATGGGGTTCGAGTAGATGGGGTCGAAGGATCGCGCCGCATCGCCAATGCATCGCCGATGTGTCAGCGATGCATCGGCGATGCATCGGCGACGTCGGCGATGCATCGGTGACGTCGGCGTGGGGGAAACACGGGCTCCACATCGATCCACATCGGCGATGCATCGGCGATGCGGCGCGAGCCTCCGACCCCATCTACTCCGACCCCATTTGGGAGACCTAGAATCATACCCCAGTGGACGATCAATGGGCTGGTGGGGGTCGATGCATTCCCCCCTAAAGCATACTCCCCCTATCCTAGACATGCGACATCCTGATTTTTTCAATGCGGGGTCCCTTGAAGTCCCGACACTGTCACCAGGACAGGTTTTTCATCCTTTATATTTTTTTGGCGGCCCCGAGGCCCGGCGAGGGCCCACCGAAGCCGAAAATTGCCAATAACCTTCCGTCTTGATTTGTTTACGACGCGCGGAGCGCGATTATCCTCGCGCCCCCGCGGGTGCCCTTGGCCTCTGGGGAGGGGGAGGAGGAGAAGGAGGCCGAGGATGATGATGATGATGATGATGATGATGATGCTGATGATGATGATGATGATGATGAGGAGGAGGAGGAGGAGGAGGAGGAGGAGAAGGTGGAGAAGGTGGAGGCGGAGGAGGAGGATGATGAGAAGAAGGAGGATGAGGTGGTGGAGGATGAGGAGGAGAAGGTGGAGGCGGAGGAGGATGAGGAGGAGAAGGAGGAGGAGGAGGAGGAGGAGGAGGAGAGGAAAGAGGAGGAGGAGGAGAAGTGGAGGAGGTGGAGGAGGGTGAGGAAGAAAAGGAGGAGCAGGAGGCGGGGCAGGAGGAGGAGGAGGAGGAGGAGGAGGAGGGTCGGAGGAGGAGAAGGATGAGGTGGAGGAGGAGGTGGAGGGGGAGGAGGAGGAGGAGGAGGAGGAGGTGGAGGCGGAGGAGGAGGAGGATGAGGAGGAGGAGGAGGAGGAGGAGAAGGTGGAGGAGGTGGAAGAGGATGAGGAAGAAAAGGAGGAGGAGGAGGAGGCGGAGGAGGAGGAGGAGAAGGTCTATCGTTGCCCCCTGACCCCGAGCTCCTGCGGGCGCCTCGCCGGCGCGCGCGGCCACGCCAGGGCCGCCAGGGGCGCCAGGGCGGAGAGGCTGCTCGTGACCACGAAGCCGAAGATCGGCCCCCCGCCGCCAAGGAGCCGTGGTCGGGCATGGCCGCCCTCCGAGAGCCCGGGGGTCCCCGACGGGTCGGGTGTGTCCACTTGCAGGCGGAATGTCGAAGAGAAGTGCAAGATCACCAGAAAGTGAGCAAAACTTCATCCAGAAGGCAAACGGCATGGTCCCCAGACTATGTTTGGACTGTGCTCGAATACTCCCCCTGTAGGAGGACACGCTCGACTGAAGGCTATCAGTAGAGGCCTCCTAGATGGGGTCCGAGTAGATCGGGTCTAGGGATTGAACCGTCTCACCAATGCATCGCCGATGCATCGGCGATGCATCGGCGACGTCGGCGATGCATCGGCGAGGTCGGCGTGGGGAAACACGGGCAACACATCGAGCCGCATCGCTGATGCATCGGCGATGCGGCGCGATCCTCCGACATGTATTCCGAACCCATCTGGGAGGCTTAGAGGGAGGCTTTGTCAGCGTCGTAAGAGAGAGAGAGAGAGAGAGAGAGCGAGAGAACCCAACATACGATGGGAGGTGTTGGGCAACGGGCCCCAGGGCCATCCAAGAAAGGCTCGGGATGAAGAGCCGGTCCAGGGGACCCCTCCCCATCGCTGGGACGTCCGTTCCGCGTGCGCGTTCGGCTTCGTGCGCGCACTGCTTCGCAAGATGGCCAAAGCTGCTGAGGAGGAGGAGGAGGAGGAGGAGGAGGAGGAGGCCTCGATGGTCCTCGCCGAACGAAAATGCACGCGCCCGAGCGATGCCACGAGGCGGCTTGGGGCCGCCCGCCGAGGGGCCTGGGTCGTGCGGGGGCGTCGGCGTGCAGGGCAGGGGGCAGCGGCACGGGGGGGCGGCCTTCTGCCAGGCCTCCTCGTCGTCCCTCCGTCCTTTAAGGGGCCCTGGGACACACAAAGAAATACACACAAATAAAAAGATTCCCTATATTTTCCAATATTTTCTAAGTTGTTGTCTTCCCCCCCACTTCCGATATTTTCCCATATTTTCGGGGGAGTCGACGATTAGTTGTGTCTGTGTGTTTCTTTCCCTCCTGAGTCCTGTCTCTCTCGCAGAAGCTCTCGTCCAGTCTCCCCTCGAGGGCTGGGCGTCGTCTCGCCCGAGACGTCCTCGCAACTCATGGTCCTGGCGCCGGGGGCCTGCGGCGGCTTCAGGGATGGAGGGTGGTCGTGTTCGAAATCTGGAGGTCCCCTTGTCGCCGCGCACATTCGTTGTAAACGTGCGCAGCAGCTTCAAAGATGAATATGAAGATGTGACTCTCGTTTGGCGATGTGCGCACTCGTACTAAAAACCTGCACCAAAAACAAGGAGAGTGGCTCGATTTCAAAATGTGGCTCTCGCCTCAGCGCCACGCATCACGAGGGCCTCCACGTCCTTCACCTCCTCGTCTTGCCTGTCCTCCTACTCCCCTCTCTTTTTCCTCCTCCTCCTTCCCCCTCCCTCCTTAGGAATGAGACGAGGAGGAGCAGGAGGAGGACGAGGAGGAGGAGCATGAGGACGATAAGGAGGGATGAGATGGAAGAGGAGGAGGAGGGCCGAATTTTACTCACCGCCGAAAGAAACAGGGGGGACCTAAACTAAAGACTTTCTGGTGTTACAATATAACCACTCTCACCTGTCCGGTGGAGAAAAACCAAGCACGTCCAATGACGTTGTCGGAAGGGGCCAATTGAAACAACGGCGGCACTTCCACCCGGCCACGATCTGATCAACATCGGTCCCCCGGCCCCTCCCAAGGTCCACCCTGGCTTTTAACCCGAGGCGGATCCAGCCGGGGAGACGACAAGCCTCCTGGAGGCCCAGAGGGGGGAAACAAAAAACGAGAAACGCCAGGGGGGGCCGCCGGGGTCTCCTCAGGCCCGCAGTGGTGGCGCCGGACCGACCGCGCCCGATCGGCCCAGTCCGCGAGCAGGCCGCCGTCCCCGCCGGGCAGGACCGTGGCGGTCTTGACGGTTCGGTGGCAACTCACGGGAGCCTCCCGTTACCGCCTCGTCGGCTCTTGCGAGTCCACGCCAATCGACGCTACGGTCGGCGCTCGTCGCCGCTGAATCGGCGCGATTCGACGCCAGCCGACGCTCCATCGGCGTCTGCCCATCGACGCCCAGACGCCCATCGACTCTAGTCGAGGTCAAACACGGGATTGACAGGGTACGCCAGGCTCCCATGATTTGCTACCGAATGACGGTGCCGGGCACCCAGTCCACCAACGACGGGTCGTCGAAATTGGCGCCCAGCTTCCCGGCGAGGACCTGCCCCGGCGCCATATCCACCTCCTCGTCACGGCCTCGCTTTTTTCCCAGACATGCGCGCGTCGTGAAAGAATCAGGGCGGGAGGTCTTTTGTTAATTTTCGGCCTTCGGGGGCCCTCGCCGGGCCCCAGGAGCGTTCAAAAACGGCTCGGGATGAAAAACCGGTCCCGAGGAAAAGTTCGGGACTTCCAGGGACCCCGTATTGAAATATTCAGGGCGTCGCATGTCTGCGTCCCCGTCACGGCCTCTTTTTTTTGGTACGGACGAACAGGATGGTGCAAAATGAGCTGTTCCAGGGAACGCCTGCCCCATGCAGGGCGGCTGAAACGTGTATATCCCCACGTGCCACCGCAGCGGTGTGAACGTTCCAGCCGACCCAAGGCAAGCGTTCCCGCCAGCGGACAACAATTACACCATACCGCTATCATGCCGCTAATTGGTGCCGGCAGCCACGCGCCAGAACATTGTGTGTGTGCGCGATTTGGCGCAGGGCTCGATCTCCCCCGCCAAGCTGGCAAACTTCTCCCTCTGCCCGCGGCCGTCTGAGACACCCACCGTGTTCGCCCACGCGGGACGTCGCCCTCGGATAGCACAGAAAAGCTTTCTGAAAGTGCGGTGGCTAGCAAAGGACTCAGCTGCCGGGTCTCAGCGCTCCCTACGGTTAGGTCGGGCATGTCCTCCTACAGGCGGATTTAGGAAGAAAAACAACATATAGTCTAAACCTAAGCAACGATGGTCAAAAGAGCACGAAAAGTCGACACCATACTATTGCACTACTACTACTCTTGAGTATTCTTCCTGTAGAGGATCATGCCCTACTTCATCCTAAGAGAAGGGGGGGAGGCCCGTGCCCGCTTCCCTGATGACGATATGGCCCCCGCCATGACGACTGTGCTGTCACTGACTAGGTTGTTGGGCGCGGAACGGCTTCTGCTGCGCCTCGACTCGCGCTGCTTCCCAGACTTCTCCAGATCTGCCTGGATTCGGCGGCGCGAGGAGGGGACATTAGAAGGAGAAGGCCTTCTCACAAGGCGGCGGGACTTCTCAGGAGCCCTCGCGCCTTCTGAACAGTTTTTTGTCTTCGGAGAAGGCTTAGAACAATTCTCAGAAGGCTGGGGGGCTTCCGAGCCTTCTGAGAAGGCCCGCCCCTTCTCACTTCCCCCCCTCGCCCGTCGCCGATGGATATCTCTGGACTTCGGATCAATCTCGATCTGTGTCGGCTTTCGCGGATCAGCCTCGATCTTCGGGCATCGCAGAAGGGCGCGGTGACGGAGCGTGCGGAGACCTCGAAATCCCCAAAGACCTCGCCGCATGCACGGACTGTCACCGCACCGTTTCGGGATCCTAAGGGCCCCAGTCGCCCGAGAAGTCCTCGGAGAACGACCCACGGTCCCAAAACCGTGCTGCCACCTCGGATCCCCAGCGACTCACCGTACGGTGTGGTCGCAGCACCATTTGGGGGCCTCGAGATCCATCTGGCCCGACCTCCGCAGGTCGGCTGGAAAAAACCCGTCCCAAGCCTTCGGGGACAGATCCATCTGGCCTGACCTCCGGGGGGGCCCAGCGCAGATCCAAGAAATCTGCGCGGAGCGCCGAAAGGAGGACGACACAAAGGAGGACGAGTCGAAAGAGGACGGCACGAAGCGGACGACAGGATCGTCCACCCTTTTGGGGGGGGGGCCAGGGCCCCCGATTCAAGCAGGGCGTTGCTGGCCAGGACTCTGAGACTTCCAGCTAGCGAGCGCGAGGAATGGAGAACCCAGTGGCAACCCGCTCGCGCGTTCAAGTTTCCGTCGGCGCACGGCTGACTAATTCCCAGACGTGATCGCGTCGTACAAAAATCAAGATGGGAAGTTGTTGGCCATTTTCGGCCTCGGGAAGCCCTCGCAGGGCCTCGGGATACAGGCTTCAGGCGTCTCGGACGCGCCAAAAGGTCTTGGTTTCTCGTGCAATCCCCGGGGAAAGGGCTCCAATTACCAGGCCAGCCCACGCAGCCGGTTTTCCCAGAAGAAGAAAACGCCACAAACATAAACTGTTGGCGCTCCGCGCGGGCTTCTCGGACCTGCGCTGGACCCCCTCCCTGGCGCGCGGAGCGCGCCAGGGGCGGCGCCAGAGGCGCCGCCTGGGGGGCCCAGCGCGGATCCAAGGAATCCGCGCGGAGCGCATCTTTATCAGGAGGGAAAAAACACACAGACACAATTAATCGTCGATTTCCCGAGAATATGGGAAAATATGGGAAGTGGGGGGAAGAGAAGAACCCAGAACATATGGGAAAATGTGGGGGTTTGTCTTATTTGTGTGTATTTATGTGTGTGTCCTGGGGCACCTTCAGTTTATGGCGTGGCTTCTGCTTCGATCTCCAGGCGCCGCCGGGCGCCCGCGGCGCGCCCGCGTGCCGAGGACAGCGCTCAGAGGCGGGGCCGCAGCGGGGCGCTCTGCAGCAGACTTCGCACCGCCCTCTCCTCAATCCACCCCCTCTCGTCCGACACGACCCCTCCTCCCGCCCGCCCTCTCGTCCGACACGACACGACCCCTTCTCGTCCGGCACGACCCCTTCTCGTCCGACACCACCCCTTCTGTCGCACCACCCTCTCGTCCGACGCGACCCCTCCTCCCGCCCGCCCCGCCCCTCTCCGTCGAGTTCCCCCCCGCCGGGGGCCTGGATCCCGTCGGGCAGGGTGACGCCGGCAACAGGGGCAGTGGCAGCGGCGGCCAGGGCGGGGTAGAGCTTCTGGAAGTGCTCCACCGGAGGGAGAGAAAAGAGGAAACGGAGGAGGTCAGGAGAGGAGAGAGAGGGGAGAAGGAGGATGGGGAGGAAAGGGAGGAGGGAGGAGGGACGAGGAGGAGGAGGAGGAGAACGAGGAGGAGGAGCAGGAGGAGACGGAGGCCGAGGAGGCGACACTCCAAAAACCAGCCAGAACACCCCCAAACGCCCCAGGAACCCGCTCGGTCGCCCCAGCATGCCCCTGGACGCTGCGAGAATTTCAGGAACCTCCTCCGTCCTCCTCCACCTCCTCCTCCTCCTCCTCCAGCTCCTCCTCCTCCTCCACCTCCTCCAGCTCCTCCGCCTCCTCCCCCACCTCCTCCACCTCCTCCACCTCCTCCTCTTGCTCCTCCTCCTCCTCCTCCTCCTGCTCCTCCTGCTCCTTCACCCTCCTCCTCCTCCTCCTCCTCCTCTCTCCTCCTCCTCCTCCTCCTCCTCCTCTCCTCTCCTCTCCTCCTCCTCATCATCATCATCATCATCATCATCATCATCATCATCATCATCATCATCCCCCTCCTCCTCCTCCTTCTCCTCCTTCCTCCCCTTCCCCTCCCCCTCCCCCCCTCCCTCCCTCCCTCTCTCCCTCTCTCCTCCCTCCTCTCTCCGCCCGCCCCTTCCTCGACATCGGCACTGGGGCATTCCCAGCAGATCTCGATCCGATCGGCCAGCTTTGAGGGTGAGCGATGCCGTCCCTCGAGGTGCACTGCGACCGTCAAGCTGCAGTTGGTGGGTCCGCGAGAGGCGAGGTGTGGAGCTCCCTGCCCACTCGGATGTGCCATCACCGTGGCGAACGTGTCGCTCAGTCTGCCCTCGCCAAACGCGCGGCCAAGCGGAGTGGTTCGGAGCGAGCGTGCTCCAACGACTCCGCGCGCGGGCGCAGCCCGCTCGATACATTACAGGGTTTGGCGCGGAGCAGGTTCCGATCGGGCTTTGGGGAACCAGGATTATCGGCATCAGGCGGATCGGAAACTGCTCCGCCGAATGGCGCAAGCCCCATGTCACATTGGGAGGACGAGGAGGGACAAGAGGTATCGTCACACAAACAGTTTGCTGAACCTTTTGTCACTGGCGAGCTTCGCTTGTTGGTCAAAGGCCTCGGCGGGCTGGGGCCGAGGACCGTTCAAATCCTCAGAAGAACAAACAAGCCACGCGACACTCGGACTCGGAGACTTGAGATAGGCGAGCGGTCGCTTCGAGGTGATAGGTACCTGTCAAGAAAGGAGCCCCATGTCCCGTGTGTGCAAGCACCATTCCTAGCGGCAGCGGACCTGCAAACAGAAACACCATATGGTATGCGACGCAGTAGAGTTTGCAATCATATTAGCAACCATGTCGTCACACGTCACGTCAGCGTAATGTCACGAGTGTTTCCCCGATTGCGGCCGCCACATCGGTCCCTACTCCGCTTCTAATGCCGCCTTCCCCTACTCCTCCGTCTCCGTGCGAGCTGACGGGACCTGACTCTGTTGAATTCGACGAGGACAGCCAGGATCGCATTCGGAAGACACAGATGCTGTGCATCATCATGTGTGGTCGGCCCACTTTTGTAGACTGCAGGCGTTGTCCTTCCTACGCGGAGTGCTAGTGGACGAATCTGGTCAATGCCCCCCTGTATGGGAGGCCGAGCTAGGACGTCCGAGGGTAGACTGCTGCGTTTGTAGGAGGGCCGCCACCCAACAACGAGGGCCCTTACGTGCGAATCACCTCACAGCGAGCAAGCAGGCTTCCGTAGTGTCATCCGTCCACGGGGGTTATGTTCAGCAGGATCCAGCACAATCCCTCCCCCTTCCTCCCTCCCTCGCTCCCTCCTCCCTCCCACCTCCCTCCATCCCTCCTCCTCCTCATCCCTCCTCCCTCCTCCCTGCCTCCTTCCCTTCCTCCCTCCTTCTCAGGCGGCGACGACGACGAAGACGACGACAACGACACCTACGACGACGACGACGCCGACCACGACGACGCCGACGACGCCGCCGCCGACGACGCCGCCGACGACGACGACGTCGACGTCGACGTCGGCGACATCTCGGCGACGGCGACAGGTCCGCCGACAGGCCCGCTGCCGCGGCAGCCGCCGCCAGGTCGGGCATCGCGGCGGCACCGGGCGGCCCGCGGGACGTGCGCGGCGCCCCGCGGGGGGGCCGCGACGGCCGGACGCCGCCTCGTCGGGCGCCTGCTGCTGCTGCTCCGCTGCGGCGGAGACGAGGATCGGCGGCGAGCGAGGGTGGGGAATCTCTCCCGGGGGAGCGAAAGGGGGGGATAGCAAAGGGCAGGCTATAGAGAATCCGCTCACGCAGCTGATTTCCCCGGCGCCCGAGTGTCGAGGAATGGGCCCGGCGGCGGGGCCGAAACCAGCTGCATGCAGCAGATTCCGTGACCCCCCCTTCCCCTATCCCCCCCTTTCGTTCGGCCCGATTTTCGGGTTGGAGCATCGAAGTTGTCGGGCGTGTCCGTCGGTTCTCGGTGGTTCTCCAGCCGCGGGACGCTTGCCGGCGGCTGCGCCTCGCCGAGGGCGTTCCCGGGGGTGCCCCGATCGTCCCGAACGGCCGCCAGAGACCCGAGTTATGACCCCAAAACCAAAATCGGCGTCGCGGGATGGGGGGAAGTGAGAAGGAGGAGGCCCTCTCAGAAGGAAGGCGGGGCTTCTCAGAAGCCCTCAGGCCTCCTGATGGCTTCTTGGAAGCCCTCAGGCCTCCTGAGAAGTGTTCTGCATCCCAGGGGAAGGCTCAGACAGATTCCCAAAGGCCTGGGAGTCCCGAGCCTTCTGAGAAGGCCTGACCCCTCTCACTTCCCCCCGGGGCTCGCCGCCGAAAGGAGGAGTATCGACGAGGATGATGCATGGAGGAGGAGGGGGGGGACCTTCTGGATGCTTTGACCAAGCGCAGGGGGGTCGTGCGGCGGGGGGGGGGAGGGGGGGACGACGACGACACCCGCTTGATCGGGAGGAGGAGACAGGCTGGAGGAGGAGACAGCGCGGGCACAGTCTCGAAGCTTCGTGCCCTGGATCCGCGTGGCGCTCTCTGAGGGCCCTCCTCCCGGGGACTGCAGCACTCAGGAGCCCTACTGACTCAAACTGGGCCCAGGGCTGGCAGAGGATCGAGTGGCGGATGGGGTCATAGGACGGGGCAGGAGGCAGCGGAGGGCACGTCCCCCCACAAGCGGATTTCGGACGAAAAATAACAAACACACAGAACATAGTCAAATAATCATCGACAATCAAAAAAACGTCCCGAGTCAGTTTTGACGGACCCGGGGTCCAGTAGTAAATCGGGCGTGCCGCCCCACAGGCAGATTTTGGAGGAATAATCAAACATTCTCACAAAAATGCCCCCATATAATCTTGCCGTCGCTCGGGCGTCAATTTCCAGTGCATTTTTCGGTGTCGTGCGTGTTTTTGTTGGTCGATGGTCCAGGGTGGTCCTCGTTCCCGCCGAGAAAAAATGCACACGCCCGAGCGATGCCAAGTAATCAAATACTAAAAAAACGTCTACACACTATTTTTCTTACTATCTTTGAATACTCCTCCTGTAGAGGGCCAGGCCCGACTTAAGAGCACGACGGTGCAGGAGGAAAGAGAGGAGGCTGGCGGAGGCCCGGCTGGCCACCGCCTCGCTCGACAATGTGATTTTGCTGTGTGCGGCGGCGGCGTTCCTTCGAGAGGTGGCGGCGAAGGCGGGGAGGAGGAGAAAGGACGACGACCCAGACATGATCGCGCCGTGAAAAAATCAGGACGGGAGGTTTTTCGCAAATCTCGGCCCCGAGGGCCCGTCGCTGGGCCTCGGGACCGTCAAAAAACGACTCAGGATGAAAAACGGTCCTGGGGAAAGGGTCGGGACTTCCAGGGACTCCGCATGTAAGAAAAATCAGGACGTAGCATGTCTGGGGACGAACACCGCTAGAGGCCAGTGTGTTTGACGACTCTTCTTCCCCCTCCTCCGGCGCCCCCTCCAGTGCGCAGCGGCGACACGCCGTCAGATGAGATGGTGACAGGGGCGAGCGTAGACTGTGGAACCCAAGGAGCGCTGGAATCACCCAGTGAGCACGCACCAAAGGCCACGCCGGCGAAAGCTCACTCTTACGTGTAGTCGACCTCCCCCCTCCCCGCACCCTTCCCCCCTGTCCCAAGAAGTGGGTAGAAGCATGAGGTAGGAATGCATTCAAAGTAGATTGGGTTTCCCCCCTTCCCCTACCAAAGGAAGGAAGAGGAAAAACCGCTAGACTCTTGAAGCAGGAAGGCGGCTAAACTAGATTGGGACCTGGGAATCTAGAAATCCCTACTTTCATCGACAGGCGTGGACCCCGACTACAGAATTGATGTACCCCAGAATTGATTTGTTCGTCGAATCTATGAGACATGCGTCGAATGTTCGTAGATCTACAAACATCAAACATTATACGCGCGATTCGACGAGAATTTCAATTTTGGGGTACATCATGTCCGTCGACGATCTCCTACCCGATTTGCGCGCGCTGCCGAGGATTGAGCAGGGACCGACCGTCCCAGCATTCTTATGGGCCTACCACGACATGTTCTTAATATCCACAGTGTTGGAAACATAACAACAATGTTCTCAGAACATGGGCCCGATGTGTCAAAACAGGACGGTCTCAGTTGTAAAGGTTCTGAGAACATCTCTTGCAGACCACCAAAGGTTATTAGAACATCCTTTGGTGGGCCTCCAACCCAGGCATGCGACGCCCTGATTTTTCCAACGTCCCGACCCTTTCCCTGGACTCGGATTTCCTTCCTGAAGCGCTTTTTGACGGCCCCGAGGCCCGGCGAGGGCCCCCCGAGGCCGAAAATTGCCCCGACGCGATCATGTCTGGGATTAAAACATCCTTTGATGGGCCTGGAGTTAGGTCGGGCGCGTCCCCCTACAGGGGGATTTTGGACGAAGAAAAAGACATAGTCAAACAAAGCTCAAGCATGGCCAACAATACTGGAACAGATCGTCCCCCGACTATTTTGTGAACTGTTTCTGGATATTCCTCCCGTAGGGAGACGTGTGCGACTTCGGGCAATCATTAGTGGGGGAGCGATAGATGGGGGGTAAGAAAGGTGCGCCTGTTGTGCACCTTTCGTACCCCTTCGGGGCCCTAGGGGGCTCGTGTAGGGGCACCTTGAGGGCCCTTTTCGTGCAACCCTCGACGCCCCCCCATTGATCGCCCCCCCGTGTGTAGTCCAAAACCCGGCTAGCAGGGCGCCCGAACAGCGCTGGAAGCCCAGGCGAAGCACGCTGGCAGGACCTGGAGAGAGCCTCTGAGCGACCTGCTGGAGAGCTTCCGGGCACGCGTCTCGGCGGTGGACAAACCTGCCTTTAGTAGACCTCCCCTTAGTGAAAACGGCCTGGGACCGAAACCGACGGACCTGGACCCGCAAAAACGACGGCCGCGACGCCCTCTCGCGAACCGAGAACGGCCAATTCCTTGATCGACGTGTCAGGGTAGGAGGTCTGTCCACCCCCGAGCGCTGGCAATCGCTAGGACGTCCATTCCCTGTGTTTTTTTCGGTTTCGTGCGTGGTTCTTTCGCGCCAAATGATCAAGGAGGCTCCTCGATGGTCCTCGCCGAGAAAAAATGCACACGTTTGAGCGATGCCTATGTATTGGGAACGAGTAGGAACACGCTGGCCGCACACGCTGCGAGTTCCAGCAAGAGTCGCTGCGGGGATCCCTGCTGGGAGCCGGAACGACCTCCGGGGGGCGACCCTGCGGCTCCGGCTTCTCATCTATAACAACCCTGACGTAGCTCTAAGGAGCTATCTGGGAACTGAAGCCCAGAACCCAGACCCCCTCGGGTAATGAAAAAAATGAGGACGGGATTTTTTTCGCTATTTTCGGCCTCCTGGGGCCCCTTACCGGCCCTCGGGACCGCCAAAAGACGATTCAGGATGAAAAACCGGTCCAGGGGAATGGGTCGAGACCTCCAGGGGTCGACGAAATGGAAAAATCATGACGTCGGGGGTCTGGGAAGCGAGCCGGGGACACTTCGCCGCCGCTGGGGAGGAGGAGGGCGGTGGCGGCGACGAGGGCGGATTGGGCGGCGGGCGAGGGCGGTAGGCGCAGAAGCCCGCTGCCCGCAGCCTCGGGTCGGGCGTGTGCTCCCGCAGGCGGAGTTTTTTGTTGACGAAAAGAGAAGAAGAGGCAAAGCAACGAAAACAAAACATCCTCAAGGGAGGGCCATTTTCCGAACCCCCTCACGAGGATCGTGGCCTCCAAGGAGCCCCCAAGAGGCTCTGGGGGCCCCCAAGACGCCGCCAAGGAGCCCCAAGAGACTCCCAAGAGGTCCCCAAGAGGCCCCCAAGAGGCCCTAAGAGCGCTCCAGGGCCCCAATAATCAAATCATTATCAAAAATTTCCGAACCCTGGAGGAAGCCTTCTGAGCTGTCTTCGGACGACCTTGCAGGCATCTGGCGCCGTCTTCGAGCCGTCTGAGGGCATCTTGGACCCCTCTACCTCCACTGTCTTCGTCGTCGCCGCCTACAGGGTCAGCGGCATCGGCCGTAAGGCCTTCGCAATAATCAAAGCACCACAAATTGTGGCAACATCGTCCCCAGACTCTTTTTGTTTGACTTCTCTTGAATTCTCTTACGTGTGGGTGGCCCAAAAGGGGGTCCAGCTGCAAGGGGGTGGTGCACTAGATTTGGGGCAATCGCGTTGCAAGTGTATTGCGCCGGAGTACAATATTGCGCTGTATTGTAAATATCTTATTGTACGCAAAAATGCAGCAGCACAATTGCGCACTGGAGTGTATTGCACGCCCCAAATGTATTGCAACCCCACAAACCTATTGCACCAATTCTATTGCACCACCCCCTTGTCCCTGGACCCCATTTTGGGTCAACCCGACTTCTGTAGAGGGACACGCCCGGCTCAACCGCAGCGTGCAGGCGGCCCGCAGCTTCGGGTCGGGCGTGCCCTCCTACAGGCGCAATTTTGGACGAACCAATGAAAATAGCCCCAGCATACTCAAGCCATCTCTTAAACAATCGGAAAATCGCCCCCCAGACTATTTCTGTGGACTCTTTCTGACCTCTCCTCCTGTAGAGGGGAGAACGATGAAAAAAATAGCTTTCTGCAATTTCTGTTCAA